CCTAATCTGGGAAAAGGGGGTAAAAAACAAAAAAATTGGGCCATAAAGGCCTTACGAATTGTACTAACGGTTATTGACAAACACATTCCCTCCAAATCTAATTCCTCACTTGTTTATCGAAGCAAAAGAATGGCTTCTAAAACATTTTACAAATGGCATTGAACGTATTCAAGTTTTCCTCCCAAACCTATGTAATTTGTTTTCCATTATTTCTTCTTTCGGTCTTCAACCCCCCTCGCCACTATAAATAGTTAGAATTTTAAATTTTAGAACCAGTCTCGCGTTGATAATGCCCACGTATGAAGTGGGCGAAACACGTGTCCGCTCAAATAAAATTATTTGTGGTAATTAGGGGTGAGTATTCCTTTTAATTTTTAATTCTATTTCTGTACTACCTGCTCTATACATTTTCTTCTCCTGTACAAATAACTTAATTGCCTTCGTACTTTCCTATAATCTCTTAATAACATTTCAACCCTGTGACTAACTGCATGATATTTATTATTCTTGTTACTTTCTAATTTCAATTTTACGATAGGTTTCTTCGGAGCTTTGGGGTATATGCGATATTTCTGATCATAAAATTTCCCAAACACTTCTGATTCGTTCCCAACCTTAATTTTTATTTTTCTAGCTCCTACTACGAAGATTAAAGTCGTAGTATTCTAATTTTCAATCTGCTATCCGTTCTGACTTATCCTTCAATTTCCAAGTTCTACTTTCTTAAATTCTAGTCTTCATTTCCTGTTTTTGTTATTAAAGTTTGTCATCATTTTATTCCGCTTTTTATTATTTCATCATCTCGAACATCAGAACACACAACGAGATCAAAGTAATATTAGTCAGACGTTTCCTCAACCATGGATTGGAAGAGGAAGTGATATCCCATGACCACCAAGAAGTTCTGATTACAATCCAGTGGATTTCTATTTTGGGGAACGTATGAAGTCCTAATTAATATCAATGAAATCCCTTCACAATATGAACTTTGAGAAAAAATTTTATTAGGGGACAGAATAATATTTTTTCAATGTCAGAAAGTTCTTCATCGAAACAATTAAAATAGGCATAAAAGTAGGAGGCCACATGGAAAACTCAATTTGAATTTGTTATTTTTATTAACCTATATGTTTATTATTCTGTATTACAAGTTTTTCTACTACTTGTTATTTGAAATTTCATTCCGAATTTGGAATGTTCAATGGTTTTTTTTTTTTCGAAAACTATTGAAATTATCAAGCTCAACCAAGTATAACAATAATATATAACCACAATTACTAAAAAGTTTTCTCAAAAAAATACAACGTGTAATTATACAACACGCTACTGAAGTGAAATTTCTTCAAACACACAAACATACCGGGATAGGGATTAAGAAATTGGTTTAATGGTATTATTTGTACACTATGAATTTAAATTTTACACTATACATGCCGGAGTTGCCTGTAACGAACGTTGCATTGAAGAACGCTCACGGCTCAAGCGATCCCCACTACGAACTCGACCACATGGCCGATTTGAAGGAGGAAATCCGTTGCATGATTTCGTTACATAGCAACTCGCATGAAACGAGCTTACCCTACCGTGCGTAAAGAAGTTTCACTTCAAATAGTATGACCCCGTGAGAACATAAGAAGGAAAAAGGATGTGTTGTGAAAACTGTAAATGAGCAACTAAAGGTTGATAGATAAAATGCAAGACCGTATAATGATAGTTACATATGAAATTCATCAAAACTCTGACGTTATTTCCGCGAGAGTGAAATATTTTTGGTAAATGTCTTGAAGCCTGCTTTCCAGGATGCAGTTTTAATTTCAAGCAATGTTTGTAGCATACCATGTTTGTATGTTTACGTGTTCTCGGAACTACTAACTCGTCGATTTTATAAATAGTAAATTATTGTTTATGTTATGTTATTTTTAATTTAGATTCCATCCATGTGAAGCTGGATGCACTATACCTACGTTGTCAAATTATTCCTTATAAGAACAAAGGCTTTCACGGCCGAAATCCATAGTAGAATAAACAATTCGGGCTATAGGGCCGTGGTCTAAGTGAACTATTCTGTCCAGACGTTTCGTCGGCTACTGCGGCTGACATCTTCAGTGGTAGTGCTGCATTGACAACGTGAACGTAGATTATATCTCGAAGTCCCGACAGCGACTGGGTTCACGTTGTCAACGCAGCACTACCACTGAAGATGTCAGCCGCAGTAGCCGACGAAACGTCTGGTCTGAATAGTTCACTTCACGGCCCTATAGCCCGAATCTTTATTCTAGTATAAATTATGCCTTTTTTACAATTTTTTTTTGTCCCTTGGCCACGCTGATGTACTCACCATTGTATCTAGTTAACACCCTCCACAGCTAACAACTTATTTAGGAAACACCCTGTATGTACATACTTATACACAAATAAAAATAGGAACTGTGCACGCAAATTGTAAAATTGTTCATTAAAATAATAAAACATGTTAAAAAAATTAAAAATTTTTTGATGATGGAGTCGACGAAGTTTTCTTCTAAAGTTAAATCAAATAAAAAGTTAATATGTTCAGTGAAAAGCTGCAATAGCACTTCAGACATAGATCTTCACTCTTCACCTACATTCTTTAAAATAATATTTTTGTCGATGTATGTGACGTTATTCGTAACAGTATATTTTGTCAATATTTCTGTTTCGGTCTTTAGTTGGACATTTGATCTAAGAAGGAGAAGTAAGATGCGCCGCTGCTAAAGTTACTTATTATTTACGGCTGAATAATGGATACTAGACTAGACTAGACTAGATGTCGCAATCCTTTTCTAAATTTCGTGACAAAAAGCTTCCGCAACGATGCCATGTGAGCAGTTCCCCAAATTGAAGGGGGAAATACACATGATTACGATGGATGTAATATAATTAATTAATAGTGTCCTTGACGACGATCTTAAGATCCGTCCACATTTTCGGTATAACGAGCATAGGCAAGTGTGGTATCCTGGTAGTCTAGCATCCATGGATTGAATGAAAGAATATACAGTGGATTCCGGGCATAACGACGACGAAGGAACCACTATAATTTCGTCGTTATATCCGGAAGTCGTTACAGGCAAACGTAAAGAGATATAAATACATATGTGTAGGTTTCACCATTTTTCAATTTTCAAACGATTTCCGCTTCTTTTTTTTTTAACAGTGAATGTGCATCTAGGAGTAATACTTATTCAAAAGTTTACTAAATACAGTTGCTACTCAGAATATCACTTTGTAACTGAACCATTTTAACGTACACGCGTATCTATTTACCTGGCTAATATCTATAAACAAACGATAAAGGTCACCACACTTGCTGACTGAGTGGATGTAATCAAAAGATAAAAAAGCTCTTTGTGTCTTTGGCAGCCGACTCTGGTCGCAATATCTGCATGGGATTACTAGGCATTTGTTACAAACGATTCATTAAAAAACGGTGGCTACACCACAACTGGGCGTTACATCCGAAGTCGCTATAGCCACATAAAATTTGTACTAAAGTATGCTTTAAATTCAAGGGACTTATTTAAACTCCTCTATGGTAAAATGGTCGCTATAACCAAGGTCATAATAAATGAAATCCACCGTAAATGTCACACAAGTAGGTAAATCACGTTGGTCAGAGGTAGGGTTGCCATCTCTAAAATTTCAAAACCAGGACAAGACGCGTGAAAACCCCAGATTTTAGAGTCCAGAACCCGGACATATCAACAGGTTTTTTAAACATAGTCAGTGTAATAAAAAACAGTTCAAAATGTCATAAATCACCTTTTTTAGATATTAAAATTAAATTTAATCATTTTTTATCATCATTTTAAATGTACCTAACAAAACAGAATCTTATTACAGTTTGTTACAAATTCTTTTAATAATCAGTTAGATTTTATTTGCGTGTGTCGCGAGCGGCCCAAGATTGTAGATTTTTAAACCTAGACTACAAATGAAGCCCCCCCTGGACGCCCTCTAAACTAGGACAAATCCGGGGAAACCCGGACGGACGGCAACCCTACTTAACAGGCAATNCTGAGACCATTCTTGTATTCAGTCTTACAATTTTTGAGGTAACTCTTTTAACTCAATAATAATTATCTTCTTTAAATTTTTATCAGCACCGTGTGTCGCGGGCGGCCCAAGACTTTGAATTTTTAAACCCGGACTACACATGAAGCCGCCCCCCCGGACGCTCCCCGGATGCCCTCTAAACTAGGACAAATCCGGGGAAACCCGGGCGGATAGCAACCCTAGTCAGAGGTAATGACAAATGGAATATTTATACCATAAATATTAGACTATAAGAATTTAGGAATATGACATCCTTATAGTCTAGTATCCATAATTTATAGTAATCATACTAGACTTTTGGTAATTATACTAACCGTCTAATCAACTTTTTTTGTTTGAACGAAGACCACTGCAGAAGTACATTGAGGTGCATATTAACCTAGTCTTGCGTCAAGTAACAGAAATAAACATTATCATTACATACATTACGCCGGGATTTCGTTTCAGCAAGTAGATATCCATATTTTTAAATGGACCTTGTTGAGAATACGTAATCCTACAATATAGCATTGTACTACAGATGGCGTTTACCGCGCCATTTGTAGTATTTTATAAAACGTGCTGTTAAGACAGCAGGTAAAATTGGTCTGTGTTCTGTCGAAACTGTCTGCGACGCGCTGATGAGATCCAACAAGATCTAAATCGCGATCCGCATCTGGCAATAAATTATTTTATTCGAGATATTACAAATTTAAAATGCAGGGATATAGCGGTTGCGGCGGTATCTATAGCATTTTATGATTAGCAGCGATCGCACGCGTTTATCGGAAATCTCTAGCGAGGAAAATAACAATTATTACCCGTGCAAAGCCGGGGCGGGTCGCTAGTTATGGATAAAAAATAGTATGTATAACAGAAGTGCACTATTTAAATTATAAAAGTTCTACCCAAAAACATATAGAAATACAATACATATAACTCACCCACTATATACTCTTTTCCATTTCGTTCTAAGCAAGCACTGACTGTGTTATCTACTCCTGCGCAAGGGGTAACTAGAGAACCACAAAGGTTAAACCTGAAGTTTATTCCTTTACTAATTTGTACTGTTCTATCTTCAGAAGTGTGGACTTCAAAAACATTTCTTTGGTATCCATTTTCTTCAACTAAGTTACAATTATCTTCACCTTCTACCATCTGAAACGTATATGATAAACAAATAGCGACAAATAATTAATCAATTGATCATTAAAGTAAAACATGCTTTAACTAATAATATAACTTTAGCCGATGTCAAAAGGAACGCAACAAATTTCAGTCGATTCAGATAATAACCCAACTTGAAAGTTCGGTTTAAATAGTTCAAGCTCGTAAATGAGCAGCCGAACTCGATCTTTTCAAGTATTTGTGACCTTTTTTTTCTTTTAATCATTTATAGTATTATTATGGAGTACCCAGTCAAACTGTAACGTTGTTGCGCCCCTGGATGTCATTCTTTAATCGTTCAAGCTCAATAGTTCACAAACATCAAACTAAAATAATTGATTCTTAACAAGTGGGTACCTTTTTATGCCTTAAATTTTAAGCTATGCAAAGGTCGTATAAAAACAATAGATAAACCTTACATGATTTGGACAAGCTGAAGGTGTGTTCCAAGCAAGTGAATATGTACAATCATTCACTGAAATTACTTTTGGGCCATACTCTCTTTCAGAGCAAATAAATTCAATTTCAGTTTTGTATGTTTCATTTGAGTTACACCTTGAACCATCTGAAAAGCTTACAATAAGGAAAAGGAAAACACAACAACATTCGATTTACAAACCTTTGTACGTTAATTTTAATGAGTTGTTTTCCGTGACTATTAACTTGGAAGCGACGGATCCAAGATTAATAGTATTAGCTCCTTTTTGTCGTAAACAAACCTGAGCTTGTTGTTCTGAAACATTACATTAAATTTTAGCGTATTGTATTTTTAACATGAGAACACCTCACTCTTAAAGTCCGAATATACAAAAAATTAAAACTATCAAATTTACCATCGTGCTTTAGACTGTTGACTATCTCTGTCTATTTATCGTAAATAAAAGTTGTGTGATGATAAAGTTCGCTCATATAACGTTATCATACTTGAAACACCCGCGCCCATATCAATTGCACAGCCTACCTCTTCCTTTTATCGTATCCAAAATATACAACGCAAAACTAGTTGAAATTTTGTTTATCAACAGTCCCAAACAATTGTTTTTTATATTTGTGTATCACCTCCCCAAAAAAAGAGCATAACGTCATCATTAATAATACATATTCACGTTATGTTTCATGTAAGACGATTCTTTAATACTTGAAATTCTTAGCTTTATGTATTCTCCATTTAATCCTTTAGTCTGGATAATACTAAATAAAGTTCAAGGCAATTAAGGATTGGAAGGTCTTTATTTATCAAAAACCAACACCGACGTTTCGCCTCTATTTGGGAGAATTTTTCAAGGTAGGTTCTTTAGTTATTTAAGAAAAGGTTCCAAATAGTTCGGTGCTTATAACTGGAACATAATATTAGAATAAACATTGATTTAAACAGCACAATTATAAANGTAAATAATACTCATTAAAGGCGACAGTTTTTTCTTCTAGCTGATAATGACAGTATGGGATTTCTCCAGCAGTGCCCCACGCAAAATTAAGTTTTAAGAAGGCGAAAACAATAACCACAAAAACAGGATTATTCATATTGTTTTATTAAAAATTAAATCAAGTGAATGTAGAATTAATCTTAGTCAATTTAATTAATTTCAGTCAATAAATGAATATCTAAAAATTATTGAAGATTACAATGCTAAGACCATCAATTTTAATACCACCAAAAAGATATACCACCTGCGTTTGCTGAATAACATACTGCAGAAATTTTATATATTTTACTTATAATCTTTAACCTAGACCTAGTGTACACATTTTTTTCACCTTGTATTTTTCTCGAATAAATTGTATTTATTAAACACTTTTTTATAAAAAAAGCATATAACGTCATTTAAGAATACAATGCAAAAACGAATTTTAAAAAAATAACGGTAAGTGAAAAATTTTCGTTAATGTTTTGTGACGTGTCAAAGCATTGTGCGGTTTGAAAAAAACAGTTCTGGACAGCTCCAGCTTCATCACCAACTTTGTTGGATTGTTTCACCTTCAAAGAAGAGTCTACATCGACGAAGTGAATAACCGAAAATTGATATTCCATCTTAACACCGTCGTTTACCTTGAATATCTTATTAAGGTTGGTAACTCTTTCATTTATAGATCCTACTATTTTAAAATACTATGTAAAAATTGTTTTACTATTTCTAATTCCCCTATCAGTCACTGTGAGCTCGAAACTGTTAGCACCATTGCTTCGAGTGGTCGAAATTCACTTTTGTGAACAATTTGTTTAATCACTTTCTTTGTGTGAAAAATTGTTTGAAAAATTAAGTTTAAAGGAATTTTTTGTAAATAGGTATGCAACACATCGTACACTTCAGAATAAGAAATTGCTGATACTAACTACGCAAGACTACTTTGTCCTGTGCTGACAGCACTCACAATTTCTTTTATATAATATTAATTAAATTATAGTAAGTGCAAAATATAATGACCGACGAATAAAAATTTACCAGAGAAGACATTTTTTACAGGCATAAAAGACATTTTTGGTCTTCTGAAATCCTCGCATCGCCTGGGAGAGGAATTTTGACAATTTGAAGTTACCCAAGTTTGGCTTTAAATTTCACCACCCTGTATAATACTAAACAACTTTTACCGTAGCTGTAGTAAATGATAAGTATCTCCTTATCTTCCTTCCAAATATCAATACTTCAACTTGCATAATATAAAAAATATGCAACTTTGAGTTAGACAATGAAAAACCATTTTTTTTAGTAAAGTTGCTTTATACTAAGTATCAAATAACGAAATTGGTATTAACTGTCGGAATAACCGAAAGTGACCGACAGCTAAAATTATTATGGAATCGAAGATGAACCCCTACCGCCAAATTTCCAAATCTCCAACATGCTTAGTTCTTCTAAAACGTACAATGTACTACTCAGTTTAAAGAACCCCTTATACATATACATGTAAATAAAATTAAACTGTCTATACCAAAATAATGAGCTTTCTCTAAACTCATATAGTTATTTGCATGCTATTAACACACAAAAAAAACGAAGTTACAGGATAAAACTAATATTAAATAGAAATTACCTTTACATTTTCCAACGTTGTTTTGCAATGGTCCACAAACATTAATATAAATAATAAAATTCGTAGAAAGGCCATTAACTAACCATCCATTTCTGCCATGGTTGCTCAGGTTGGTAATATCATACAAATATTGCCTATTTGTTACCTATTTAAAAGCAATATTTTATTGAAGAAAATACATATTTTTATTTAAGTTACCAAACACTCTGATGGAAGTTTAAAACAAAAATGACGGGATTCTAACTGAAAAGTGTATTTATTTCCATGATAAATTTTTTGGAATTCAGCTGCGACATTTGTTTCTTCCCAATTACATTTGAGAAGCAATTCAGCATACTTCCTATTAGATTTAGCTCCTCCTGTTCGACCACGTACAGAAAGTACACCTGAATTATCATTATAATTTACATGTTGTGTTTCAAGATTTGCAATTGGATGAATCACATTATTTTGTAATTCACATGCCATATATTCAGGATAAGAATTTCCACAATTTGTAGCTGGACCACAAAGACTTACATAAAATGTTACATTTGTATTAGATACCTTAATGTCACCAAGGTTTTCTAAATTTTGCAAATCTAGGAGATAATTACTGCCTACACCAACTTTAATAGTACATCTTGGTGAGCATGCAGGATGCAACATCCTTATATGATATTCGCACCGTTGCATACTCAAAAACATAGGTCCATTCTAAGAAATTCAGTGTTTAAATCAATTTACAGTATTGTATTAAATGTTACCTTAAGTAAATCATCACAGTCAAGATGAATTACAAGACTATAGTTTTTATTTGCAGCCTGTTTACATCTATGCCCATTGATAGACTTTAAAATGTGATTTCCATTTTGATCTTTTGTAAATACGAAATATTCTCCCAAATTATATATTGATTCTTGGGGATGTATTTCATCAATTATACAAGCAGAAACTTCATCTTTACATGTGTCCTTAATACTTGTGGCACAGAGAGATACAATCAACTGTTTCCCAGGAATTGTAACATTTACAGTCGAACTGGAATAAAATTGATTTCACAAAAACATAATAAATAAAAACTAACGTAAATAATACTCATTAAAGGCGACAGTTTTTTCTTCTAGCTGATAATGACAGTATGGGATTTCTCCAGCAGTGCCCCACGCAAAATTAAGTTTTAAGAAGGCGAAAACAATAACCACAAAAACAGGATTATTCATATTGTTTTATTAAAAATTAAATCAAGTGAATGTAGAATTAATCTTAGTCAATTTAATTAATTTCAGTCAATAAATGAATATCTAAAAATTATTGAAGATTACAATGGTAAGACCATCAATTTTAATACCACCAAAAAGATATACCACCTGCGTTTATAAATTGAAAATTATCGTATATTTACACATATTACCAGATTTATTAAACATACACAAATTACTCTATCTTTACTGATGATTTTTTAATTAAAATAAATTCCTACCCATTATGAACCACCACATGCACAAACTTTTAATCTATGGTTAACAAAAGTGTAAGTTGGTGTAAGTCGGGAAATCCCAAATCCCGCGTTAATTCAAATATTATAAAGGAAGTGTCTCCTGTGCTGCCCGACCGCCTCAATTAATTTATTATGTCATAGTGACGGGTTACCAAATAGCAACCTGATATTTTGAACTGTCATATTGTTAATAGCAATCGATACTGCTACGAACTGTAATAGTTATAGCTGTTATTTTTTTTTCAAATTGAACACCCTATATGTATTTCCAAGAACTAATACAGAATTTTACTCTCTTTCGAATTGTATTATGCATCGACTTATACTAATGGACATGCCTGAGCGGTCACAGAGTTGTAGTACAACAAAAGAAAGAGATGGATCGAAGTTTCGGACAATACCTATTCGTCTCACGATAGTGCCGTTGTTACGATGCCCTGCACCCGTACTTCAAAGAAGCCAATCGCGTGTAATGAAAGAGATAAGCACTAGTTCGAAACTATACTTCATCTCCCTCACTCTTTACCAGCCAAGAAATTATTACGACATACGGCTAAGGCACGTCCATTATTATATGTGTATGGTATTATGATTTCCTGTACGCATCTCTAATTTACTGTTCCTTATAAAAGCAACTAAAATCGTTTAATTTTTTACGAAGACGGATAATTTTAACGAAGATGGATGTGAAATCTTAACAAAATTCTAAAACAAACAATACAAGTTGGTTACCTACTGTTCAAACACCCATACTGACAGTTTAATAATTAAATATTTTTATTCTCAGTGTCAGTTATTAAATATTATTGTTATTCAGAATAGAAAATGAGAATACGTATTTAAATTGAGAATTTTAAATAATTGCAATTGCAGACTAAGGCAACAATAGTAAAAAAAAACATGAACTAATTAACGATATGAGGTGATAAATATTTAAATACTGCGTGGGCATATAGACTGTCCTGCCCTACTTGGAATAATAATTTTTATTTACCGTGACGATTGCTCCGAAATCGTTCGCAAGAATAAAATTCTCCATAAGGCTCCTAAAATACCTACAGGGTATTTCGTTTGAAAGAATGGACTTGCAATTGTATAAATTTTAGCAAATCCGCCATTAAATATATGACACCCTCTATGTAATTAACCTACTTTGAAAGTATAAACGGAAAGCTTGGGGTTATAGTTATCTCTCCTGAGAATATTGTTGCTCCAGCTTTTAATTGTAAAGTAGGCATGCTTTTTCAATACCTATTGTTCCATTTATTATAGCCTTATGAAAGTCGAACTAGAATCATAAGTAGAATTTAAAATCGTCATAATATATAAGGTGAGTTTTTTAATATTTTAAAGTTAGTAGTAATAAAATATAATTTAGTATCAAAAAAATATTTTGTCAAATTATTCTTTAAATAAACATAAGTACATTATTTCTTTCCGAAATTTCAAAATATAAAAAAATCCAAATTTATTAACAGATTGACTGCGAACTGCAACATAAAGATACAGTACATCAATACCTACCTGCTTTACCTTTAACGGTAATGAAATGAGTTTATTCTTGAGTAGGTTTAACACTGAGCTGTTTTCACTGTTTTTAAACAAGTGAAATCTGCTTGTTTCCATTTACGGATGATGATTCATCGTTATTTCGCTGTTGGTTATAGTGTTAAAAACAATAAATGTAATAATAATAAACATTTTAAACGTTAAAATTTTCGTTTCTTTTTTAATTTATCCTTACTTACCTAGGTATCTATTTATTGAATTTATTTTGAAATTAATCGTAAGATTAAATTTTCTGTAGAAATTGTTATTTTTGGAATTCATGTCCACAGACAGCGAGACAGTTAAAGTGGCAAGGACCTTTGAGTTATTTTTGATCTAGGAAATGATTATTTGGTTCTAAACAATCATTTCAAATTGTTGTGACTATTTTTATATGTTTTTGTTTCTAATCTCTTTTATGCAAATTAAAATATTAATAAAAAAATTAAATTAAAAGTGAGATATGTTGAAAATTTAATTATCTAAAATTTTTAATATACCTACTCTACAAAAAAAATTATACATAATACATCTGCATAACGTTCGATACTCGATGCTTGATACCATAAACGGAAATTATGACGTAATACTTTCAGTCATGTCCATATATGGATTTAACTGAAAAGTCCACTCTGGAGTTAATTAAAAATAAGCCAGTAAAGTGTAAAAATTGTACAATCAAAAAAAATTTTTCCAAAATGTAAGTATTAAAAATTGTTGTTATTCATACAATCCTCATTTTTTTATTTATTAATCTTAAGATTACCCTTTGAATAACGGAAATGTTGAGTTGGCGTAGAATGTTGGACCAATCAGAAACTCGGATTCTAGGCGTTGGTCGTGACGTCAAAAAAGATATAAAAGCATGTAGAACAGAAAATCGAATCATTCTGCAAGAAGATATTGTGTTGTTTGTTTGAGAAGCTGCATTACTAGCTACTTCAAACGACTTTTAAACTTTTCTTAAATTCTGAACAAAATTTAAAGATTATTCGACAATATGGTAAGTGAAATAATTCATTCAGTAATTCGTGTGCATTAGCGATAAATTTTAATGGAACGAATAGTTATAACGAGGTTTGTTACAGTAGCCATTTTGTTACCGGCTTTTGTTTGTAATTTTAATTTAATACAGTCCGGTTAAATAGTTTCCGACAACATATTAATACATTTATAATTGCATTATAACATATATGGGATAATAAATGTTACTGGTTTTATTTATCTAATTTTATGCAAGTATTGATTTTTGGGCGTTGGTCATTTTCAAAAATCATACCTCTAAAACAATCGAATTCATTTATGTATAACGGATAGAGGCGAATTAAGTATTCACTGCGTTCTTTTTTTTTTAATCGCATGTTTTGTTACAGCGTGAATGTATCTCGGTTCATGTTGGACAAGCCGGCGTCCAGATCGGTAATGCTTGTTGGGAATTGTACTGCCTTGAGCATGGAATCCAACCTGATGGTCAGATGCCATCTGATAAAACAGTAGGAGGTGGTGATGACAGTTTCAACACTTTCTTCAGCGAAACGGGGGCTGGGAAGCATGTTCCTAGAGCAGTTTTTGTTGACCTTGAACCAACTGTGGTCGATGAAGTCAGAACTGGTACCTATAGACAATTATTTCACCCTGAGCAACTAATTACTGGCAAGGAGGATGCTGCTAACAATTACGCCCGTGGTCACTATACAATTGGAAAAGAAATTGTAGATTTGGTATTGGACAGGATCCGTAAACTTGCTGACCAATGTACAGGCTTGCAAGGTTTTCTAATCTTTCATTCATTTGGTGGAGGCACTGGATCTGGTTTTACCTCCTTACTCATGGAAAGACTCTCTGTTGACTATGGAAAGAAATCAAAACTGGAATTTGCTATCTATCCTGCACCCCAAGTTTCCACAGCTGTAGTTGAGCCATATAATTCAATTCTTACCACACATACCACCTTAGAGCATTCTGACTGTGCTTTCATGGTTGACAATGAAGCTATCTATGATATTTGCAGAAGAAACTTGGACATCGAACGCCCTACTTATACCAACTTGAATAGACTCATTGGGCAGATTGTTTCTTCAATAACAGCTTCATTGCGTTTCGACGGTGCCTTAAACGTCGACTTGACGGAATTCCAAACTAATTTGGTGCCATACCCACGTATCCATTTCCCTCTCGTCACCTATGCTCCTGTAATCTCAGCTGAAAAGGCTTACCATGAACAACTATCAGTTGCTGAAATAACCAATGCTTGTTTTGAACCTGCGAATCAAATGGTAAAATGTGACCCAAGACATGGAAAATATATGGCTTGTTGCATGCTGTATCGAGGTGATGTTGTTCCCAAAGATGTAAATGCAGCTATTGCTACCATCAAAACCAAGCGAACCATCCAGTTTGTCGATTGGTGTCCCACTGGATTTAAAGTTGGTATTAACTACCAACCACCAACCGTTGTTCCAGGTGGTGACTTGGCTAAAGTACAACGTGCAGTATGCATGTTGTCAAATACTACAGCTATTGCCGAAGCTTGGGCTCGTCTTGACCACAAATTCGACCTCATGTATGCCAAGCGTGCATTTGTACATTGGTATGTTGGTGAAGGTATGGAGGAAGGTGAATTTTCTGAAGCACGTGAAGATTTGGCTGCTCTTGAAAAGGATTATGAAGAAGTTGGCATGGATTCTGGAGAAGGAGAAGGTGAAGGAGCCGAAGAATACTAAATTCCAAAATGATCTTGAAACACTCACATTTTCTTTATCAGTTTTTTATATGTTTCTTTGAAGTGTTCCAATGTTAACGATTTTTTAAAGGCTGATTTACTTCAATAAATTATTTGAGCATTTTAGTTATCGTTGTTTTGCTTTTATTTATTGTAAAAATAAATGTGAAAAAAGTAAAAATTTAAAAAAAAATTTTAACAACTGCAGTCAATTTCAGAACATTGGCTTCAAGTCATTAAGTATCTTGCTATAGGAATGTGTGAGACTGTTTTTAACTACAATGTAAATTCATTTCAGAAATTAATGTAATCAAAAGAAATATTTACTTATACATAAAAATTAGTGTAGTACAACAGGGTTATTTATAATTTAGAGATTCTTGAAAAGTAATACAGGTGTAACGTAATGATCAGTGTCAATTTTTTGTTTATATTTATCTCGATTAGTAACAGAATTATTACTACATTAATTCATGTGAGTATAGAACTCAACATTTACCAGAGATGTAACTATAGGTCAACCACGGCTCATTTATTGGATGTTTTGGTCATATACTGGTCTACCTTGATTATTAATTAACACAATATTTAAAACGACAAACAATCCTTCACATACCTCAAGACAGTAAGTTTCGTAAAAATTAAATTTCTGAAACGGTATACATTAAACACTACATGAATACAACACGATAAGTGTAACTTAAACTCGCACAATTTCAGGCTAATTCTTCCTAGGTGCCTAATTTGAGATTCAAAACATCTTCAGTTCCGTGACAATATTAATACATTACTCGCCTAGGGAGAAAATATAAAAAAAATTGAGTTATATAAAATTATTATACATCTATAAAGGTATTAAAAAATTAAAAGGAATACTCACCCCTAATTACCACAAATAATTTTATATTAGCGGACACGTGTTTCGCCCACTTCACACGTGGGCATTAGCAACGCGAGACTCACCACCCCTGGCCCATACAAAAAGAAAAGCTGGCTACGCTATGTTAGCACGACAATTTATTTTTTCAAGTAATAACGGCTCGCTAACATTATTTCGAATATCTTGATGCATAACAATATTTATAGAGATTTCAACGAACATAATTGCATTATATTTGCTAATATTGTTAATCTATATCATATTTTAAAGGTGTCCCCTATCTTATTGACACATGGTCATCAATCAGTCTTGGATACACTCAAGACGATTAGATCTGATTATGAAAATAACAATTGAGGATTAAGGAAGTATAAATTAAGGTCGATTTTAGTACAATTGGTAATGTAACAATAAAATATGTTGAGCAGTCTTAGGAAAATCTCAGTAGATGACAAAGTATGAGACGTACTTAAATTGGTATGTTTATAAAAATTCAAGTTTTGAATTAAAAACACCTAAAACTCAAGCAGTTTTTATCATCAGTAGTCATAGTAATTCGTAGTTCAAACCCAGTTCCGTTAAACATGTCTCTAGACATTATACTAATCATGGTAAAAGTAGCTGTTATATTTGCACAAATTATTATTTAGATTATCAGCTCATATTTTGGAAAGTAAAGCAAATATTCACAGCACATATCTGCAAAAGAAATTGTTTGAATTAAAAAATATTTCACAAATAAGTTAGTATTTTGATATGAATAAATATTTAAGGAAGGTATATTTAGACCTTTTCTATTATGATAAAAAATCATTAATTAAAATAAACGACTTATTGATTTTGCGTTCAAATCTATTTTTCATTTATTACTTGTTAGATAAAATAGCGCAAATTATTAATTTAACTATTAGTTCACATATTCTCTCTGATGTATAGTTCTGGTTAATGTCACAATATTAATTTAACTTATCAATTATTAAAATTTGAAGCGGATCTACTTCTACGTTAAGAATACTCTCTAAAGTGGAAGGAGCGCCCTCCTGAAAAAGAAGAGGTTGACGAATAACAAATTTTTTTGGTATACAAAATTCATCTGTGCAAGTAACTAGATGAAAAAAACAATCTAAATTATCTTTATCAAGATGAGGTCCAGAAACTTTACAAATAATATCAATGTTATTAATGTTATTTCCACTTGTGGGTGCAATGAACCATCTTTTGTTGGGACTCTTAACCGACCATTTCTGAACAGATTCTGGATTGAGTTTTAGTCCTTTTACGAAATTAAAATTGAACTTTAACTTCAGCTTTCCTCCTTTCTCGCTGATAGTAATTGTTTTGCTGTTATAAGTAGGCACTTTAGAACTCATCGCAGCCGCCAATTCTGATAATTTAAGAGGATGTTGAGACATGTTCAGTTCTAATGTTGTCGTTGTAACAGCAGATAATTTATCATCCAATGTTACTATTTTGATGCAATGATTATTAGTGTCAGCAACATAAAGTTTTTTATCATCAAAACTGACAGTTACGCCACCGGGTTCATTCAAACCCGCTACCGATAATGTATAAATTGTGTTTGTTGTGATATCAACTCTTTTAAGTTTATGATTATATGTATCAGCAGCAAATAAAATATCGGCTTTATTGGCTAGTGCTAACCCAAGAAGATGTTGTAGCTTTGCCTCTTGTAATTTTCCATCTTTGTCGCCAAACGCAAATAAATTCTTAAAAAAATAAATTATTTGTATCAAATTACGTATTATTAGGATATAAAAAGTAAAATTATGATAATTGTGTTTAGTTATAAATGAACGATAATTTAATAATATTTGACAATTCATACCACGAATATTTGTACTTAAACTTAACTAAGGTTAAACACGTTAAAAATTTAAGTCTTTGTAAAAAATTTTGTTTTAATTTAAATAAACTGAATATATTGACGTATAAACACCGACTTCAGTACTTTGCCTTTAAACTTACACCTAAAAGTTAAAAGAGGATCTGACCGAAATAACGAGATTACGTTAATTCCTCCAACTATTACTTTATTATTCTCTGATCTTGGAATATTTTTTTCAAATTTAAATGGGATCACCCTTGAGATACAACTTAATCAATAAAAAAAGGATCATTAAAATCGATTCACATTTGGCGATGAAATTACGTAACATGTCGAATAGAAAAGCTCCACTTTTTTTGAAGCCATGTGAAAATATATGAAGAATGGTTATAAAATCATACACCTTCTTATGTTTAAAGTAAGAGCACCAACGTTTTGTTGACTCACTTATTTTTTTAAGGTATCACTGAAAAAATTTAACAAAAATATTCTTTCACGTGTACAAAAAAATTATTAAAACCTTCAAAATTTGTACCTTTGTCACAAGCGTGTAGTTGACATTTTATCTTCGAGATCAATTTTAAGGGTGGGCTAATTGGGCTAAACCTGAAACGCTAGCCTTCTGCTAAGCACGCGAGGGTTTACAATTATCAGACGTTTGCAGATTTAATTGAAAATAAAGATATTTCTTATGTCTGCATTCCTGTAAGCAAAAAGGTCATGACTATGTTGTCTTTTCCTACTGTAACCTTATGATTCTAAGCAATGTATATGCCCAATAAATATATTAACTAAAGAATACATTTATAACGTTATAGTAGGAAAAGACAACATGAACTGAATGTTGCCATGGTCATGACTAGGGTTGCCACATTTTCAGAATTTACATAAAGTATTTCTCGACTAAATGGTTAAAAAAAAAGTACTCAGCATAAAAATAAAGTATTTTATTTTTTGTTTTTAAAAACATATTTTTTGTTACACCTAGCAGCCAGTAACAAATTGCTGTCGCTCTTAAATACAATAATAGCCTCTAAACATGGCAAACAAAGATTTAAGTAAACTAAAAGTTCATTTTTAATTAGTTTTAATGAAGCTTTATTCCTGTCGTCTCGCCACTTTGCGTTCATAACAGAGAATACTCTTTCGTAAATGCTGAGAGGCCGGAATGGACAGCAAAACTGACACTACTTTGAACAGATTTGGGAAATCAGGTTGTTCGGTACATAGAAACATTCTCAAAAATATTGTATTGTGCAATATTATTGATGTAAAAATACTCTGAATTTCGAATAATCGCTTACAAAATTACGATGTTTACTTAAGGCCTTAAATAAAGTATTTTTGCGTACTTTATGTGTCTTGTAAAATATAACGTACGCACAGTCGAAATAGAGCACAATACTTTATAATAAAGTACGGGTGGCAACCCTAGTCATGACATTACTTTGTTATAGAAATGTGAACCTAAAAAATTTCATTTAACTTTATTTCCACTTAGATATAGACATTTAACTACAAACCTGTGCATGCCTAGAATAATGCTCACGTTTCAGATTTTAGCAGCTCTTTAATTTTTATAGCTGTTCTATGTATTAAAAAAATAGTAAGGTAAAAGTGCAGTGTAAAGAAAGTAAATAATAGCAACTCACATTAGGATTTTTATCTCCTCCGACTACACAGGTTACTTTTCCATCCAACAATGATAGCCTCCTAATACTTGAACTTTCACTGTCTGCAATATAGATTTCTTTATTACTACTATGAATTGCAAGACCTGAAGGTTGAGCAAATCCAGCTGCATGTGGATACTGATTATTTCTGTTTTCCTCTCGTCCAGATCCAGCAATAGCAACACAAGTTCCAGCACTGTATGATTGATTCTTCCACCATACTGTATCATCTAAGAATAAAGCCCAAATTTGATGAGTTCCTGCCATTGCAATCATAAGGACTTTTTTCTGCTTTGAATCTTTTTCATCTGTTATATTATAAATGCAAACATCCCATGGCGATGATATTTCCTGAACTTTTCCTTTCCTACCACCTTTATAATCATTGCCTTGGAAACCTGTTCCAGCAACAGTTTTTACAATCTCATTTTGTAAATCAAGCTTTCGAATTGCATGATTTTCTGTATCAGCAACAAAAATAACATCTTTCCCATCAAAAACTAAGCCTTGTGGTGCATTGAATTCAGCTATTTGAAAGTTTCCATCCTTAAAGCCTGCATTTCCACTTCCAATTTGTTTTAGTAATGTTCCATCATTTTTTAGGAAAAGAATTCTGTGATTACCAGTATCAGATACAGCTAAATGTTCTAATGATACATCTTCATTTATGCAGCTAGCAATTTTACCAGGAAATAACAATGGACTATTAATATCAATTAGTGAATGACATGCCAATTTAAGTGGTATTTTATGATTGGATATTTTTTGTTGATCTTTGTAATATTCTAAAGCATTTTTAATATAAAAGTGCAAATGTTCTTTGTGGCCTTCTCCAGTCAACATAACAAGAGGATTAGCATTTGGTCCTAACAGTAATAAAGTTGGCCAACAGTGGACATCACAATTTTCCCACATTGTCATCTGATGGTCATTAACAACAGGGTGGGTAATGTTATACCGTTGAACAGCTGCCAATATATTTTTAGACTTTTTCTCATTTTCAAACTTTGCACTGTGTACACCAACCTAATTAAAGAGTTGAATGAAAAGAAAATATGCAAATAATAATTGTATATGTGGAAGAATTTACCACAACTAATCCATCTTCAACTGAGAACTCATTTTCTAAATCTTTTAAATCTGGCAAAATATGCATACAATTAATGCAACAATAAGTAAAAAAATCTAATAATACGACTTTGCCTTTTAGATGTTTTGAAAAAAATAAAGGTTCAGATACATTAAACCACTCCAATCCTAAAAATGAACTACATATAAATTTTTATGTCACAAGTTAAATGCCAATAATTACCATTTTGAAAATCTTTAACAGGATGATAAGTAACTGATTTAATGTAATTTTTAACAGTTACATCTTTGTTGTTTGATAATTGTAACAGAGATTGTAGCTTTTGATGTGAATAACCAATTGAATCGTCTTCATCCATTATTATTCTTGAAAACATTCTTACAATTAAATTATTTTCTATTTTGTAAACTGAATTCCGTAGAAAACAAGTACACATTAACAAACTTGACCTAATCATGAAAAACTTACATGAAATAATCGGTTGGAAGGTGTTTTGAGTTTTTATTAAAAAAAAACACTTAAATTACACTTAACAATTCATTTTGGTAGTTGCCGTTAACGATTAAACTCCTATAGTACTGCCATGGCACTGCTTTAGTTGGAAAAGGTCTATTTATAAGAAACTCAGAAGAAACAAATAAGGAGAAAGTGTTTGAAACAATTTTATTTCTAAATAAATATTTTAAAGGTATATAACCTATGATAATTTCACACTCACTTATCATAGATAACAGTTACTACTCAGCCGTATGCGACTTCGCTTCTACAGTTTAAGTTGCATTCGCTTAAAAAATGATATCCACTCAACAGTCGTTTATACAATACAAGTAGATACAAATTGTTCCAATTAGAGGAAGGTACAGGTACAATGTATGTATATAAAATAGGGGAAGAGGAGCATCTAGCTGCTATTAGTCTAGGGCTGCTTGCCATGCTCGGTCCATTCTCTATGCCTATTATCTATGCTCTATGCGGTCACTATGTCTACTACATTCTATAATCATAACATCATGACATTTACATAACCTTAAACCGCCTTAGACAACATAACCGTCTCAATTTGAGTGAGGAAACTACTTGCAACACAATTTTATTAAGTTAAATTTGATTGAATTAATACATTTAAAGCAAATATAAATAAGCTTCAGTATTATCCTTCAATGCTAGAATGGTAAGACTATAATATTATTATTTATTATGTGTAAAAGTATACGGGTAATAAAATCCAAATAACACCAGGTAGGTAATAAGAAGTAAATCAAGAATCAACAATTCAACGCAAAAAATTTCTATCTACATAGTGGTTAAAAAAATGTAGATGCCTTCCAAATTGAGTGATTGTAATAATAAAAAATTGACCAAAAAAAAAATATGAATTTTTATATTATAACTGGACGAAGTGGCATGAGAAAAGGATAAAATATCTGCTGATAAAAGAAATTCACTAGCAATTTTTAGAAATTGGGGATATTGATAATGATATCGAAATCAATAACTGGAAGTAGTGTACTAATTTAATGATCCAACTGAAAGTGGATGAAGAAATCTATATTATCCTGCTTCTGTTTCCTGCAATTGATTATCATCAGAGACGTGATAATTATAATAAGAAAAAAAAAAATTTTCAGAATTTACCTGTTGTTTTAAAGGGACTTTTGTAAAGCTTCCCCATGTATCAGTCAACTAGTGTTACAGATACTTCAACTTTATCAAGAAAAGTTTTTTCTCATTGTCAAAATTTCATATTCCTTGTATTATCCAAGCTGAAGTATTGATATTTGGAAAGGAGGTAGGGGGATGCCCATAATTTATTACAGTTACGTCGAAAGTTGTTTAGTATTATACAAGGTGATGAAAATTTGTTTCAAACAAAATTGTTTGCCGATGAGAAAATCTTCGGTGGAGATTTCGATGACCGTACAATTCGATCGTTGCATTGACATTGTGTTCACATTCACCGTAAATTAATATTATGTTACAAAGTTCTGCCACACTAAACGCCTTTGTAGCAACCACTGTTCTGGATTGGTCTACTGCCAATGATTTTGACTGACTACACACATACAAGCGCACAATGTTAATAAGAACAAAGATCTACAACAGATTGGCTTAACATATACATTTTCAATGGCATTTAGTATTATAAACAAGTAACAAACAATGCATGAGCACAAGAATATAAAAGAAATACAACATAGCTGATTAATTGCGGTGCTGCATTGTCGTATTTACCAGGGATGGATTGGCCCCTGCCTGTTATTTCAAATACGTTTTCTCTCGAAAACAACGAACTTGCGGATCACCAAACATTTACTTAATTTTTTGTTTTATGGTGCCCTATTCATCACCTGCAAACTTGCTACTTACATCAGAAACATCCCATATAATCTAAGTGTGTGACAAATTTGACCTCTCATAACATTTCACTCCCTGGGTTCTTGCACTCCAGACTCCACCAAAAAATCAACCCTCATCTACATTCCTATATAGAAGGCGCCCCTTTCCCCCCCCCCATCAAGCAGGTCATATACGGATGAACAACTACTATGTATTTCAGATGTCGATTAACTTAGCCTCGCCGTTTTTGAAAACATAAAAAGGATGAGCTGTGTTCAATTGTCCAAGTATTGTGTTTAACATCGTTCGGCTTCTTTGTCCTGAATATAGTTCTTGAATGAATATTTCTTTCTATTGAATTACAAATTCAGAAGATATAAAGTTGTAACTTTTTCTCTTAAATTTACATAGATTAAATTAATAGGACTTAATATTTCTATGTTTTAGGATATTAGTGCATTTTCAGATGAAAATTTTGACGTTAAAGCTTGGATTAACAATACTTTGAAAAATGCTGACCAAGATAAGAAAGAAGTATTAAAATATACTTTATAATCTAAGCAACCGCTTAAGGCATGTCAAACTTGATTTTAGAATTTTACCATGTCCTTGGTTATGAAACTGCAATTGTATGTGCAGCAAATAAATTCTGTTTTGGAACAAACCAGTGAACAAATTCTAACTTCCCTGCCTAAAATAATGAGAGATACAAAAAACTTACAAGAGGAAGCATTGATACTACGTGAAAAGATGGAATCTGTAAAGGAAGAAATTTTCAAAGTTGAACAAGATACTGGTCCCTCCTTACAGTCAATTGAAAAATTAGATAGATTAAAATCACAACTTGAAATTGCAAAACAAAGTTTACATGAAAGTGATAATTGGACCATGTTAGGTAAAAATATAAATTTTAACGTTATTGAGCAAAATATAATTTATAAGTTTGTAAGTATTAAATTTATTTTTTGAAGTTGATTAGGAAATATGTTAAAAATAATCAATGGACAACAACCGAAGAAAGAATATTTTATTTTCTCTTAATATCCTACAGTGTCTCGGTTCGTCAGTGTCTTAAACTTATTTATTAATAACTAGATCGCTGGCGTTAATGTCCTAAATACATGTGTCAAAGATTATCGACGATCACATAAAATTAATTTTTTTATCCCTCGGGAACAGCATTTTTTCTTCTAATAAAAGGAACGCTATGTCGTTTTTTGTACCCCTGATAATATGTCTACAAAATTTCATGATGATCAATTGAGTAATTAAAGCATGAAGTTGACCACGTAAAACTAATTTTTGTATCCCTCAGGAATAGTATTTTTTTATGGATTAAAGGTATCCTATCAATCACATTGAACTAACTTTTATATCCCTCGGAAAGATTATTTTTTTCTGGATGAAAGGTACCCTATGTCTTTTTCTGTACCCTTTCATTATCGATCGAGCAGTTAAGACATGAAATCGATCACATAAAACTATTTTATTTATCCCTCGAGAACAGTTTTTTTTCTGGATAAAGGTATCGTATGTGTTTTTCTGGTCTTCTGACAATGTGTCTACAAAATTTGGTAGTGATCGATTGAGTAGTTTAGGCGTGAGAAACCTACAAACAAACAAACTCACATTCGTAATTATAATATTAGGATACCAAAAAAACATTAATAATATCTTATCATCAGAGTTCGAATGCTATTTGCATATGACAGGTTTATATAGAACATCTATGTACAAAAAATTGTTGTTGTTTGTGTATAATCTTTTAATATCTATATTTATTCTTGTAGTGTGAATTGCTTGAGAATGATACTCACTGTATTGATACTGTGGTTGCGTTTAGTAACAATACAGTGATAAAATAGAGTACTTGTTTTCCTTTTAATTGGTTTTAAAAAAATTGTTTTTATGTATGTGTATTAAATATTAGTGTATAATTCTAGTTAACGATTTAGAAGAATTGTTTGATTCAAAAAATATAGAAGTTATAGCTACTAAATTGCTAAGTATGCAGCAATCATTGAAATTACTAATAAACGCACCCGACTACGAGGATAGAAAACTTCAACTAGAAGGATTGAAAAATCGCCTGGAAGCAATAACAAGCCCCATGATTGTGCAAACATTTACTACAAATAATATAGGTATACTTTATTTTATGAAACTTGAAAAAAAAATTAATTAAGTATGTACAGGGTGATTTACTGCACTTTCTCCCATAATTTTGGGAGATAGAAAGGGTTTCAAAGAAGTTGTCTACCTAACTAAAATTATAATTTGTTAAATGGAATGCAATATATTTTGTTAAGGTATTCAAAATTAAAACTAACAATGATACGAAGCCAATAAGTTGACTTTGATTTTAAAAAAAAAATATATCTCATTGCAATGAAATATATACAATTTCAGTTTGTCTTCAACAAAATAGCCTTATTTAGTTTTAATTCTAAATTATTATATTTGTTTAGAATTTATGTTTATTAATTTTTGCAATTTATATTTTAATTTTAATGCTATGCACTTCTCGAATGTTAATGGAAAGTGAGTCAGGGCAATTTAAAACAACCATGACCTGACCATCAAGAACCGCAAAAGTAAATTACTAAAAAATCAATAAACACAAATTATGAGGTCCTAATTTTTACTCTTCACGGACATGTTTCATGTTCATTAATCCATGTATTACGGTATTAGTTTGATGAGTAAAAATTAGATTTATATATTTAAAACATTAATATTGAAAATAAATATTAAATTGAAATTATACATACTTCATTAAAAAAAGCAAACGTTTTAAAAATCAGAGCCTGCTGAGTAGGTATAATACTTCATACATCGGTGTTAGTTTTAATAAAAATTTATGAAAACCTTTACAATATCTTTTTTGAAACAATCTCTAAAAATAACGGGAAAAGGTGAGGTGCGAATGTTAAGTGTTGGGTATCACCTTATATAAGAATATTTTCGTTGATTTTTCGCACATATATTAAAATTTTTATTTTAGAACAAGCAATTTCATATGCACAAATTTTTGAATCAATCAATCGTATGCCTCAATTAATAAAGTACTACCATAACTGTCATAAAGAATTACTATTAAAAAAATGGAGAGATCAATTGGAGGTGGAGCAGGACGAACAAATTTGCCAGTGTATTCACAATTATCTTGATTTTTTATTGTCGCATTGGCACTCACAAGCTAAGTGGTTTTCACAAGTTTTCCCACATAATTCTGCATTAGACGCTTTAACGGACACTTACGTCAGCGCACTATCTGGTTTGGATCCCAGTATAGGCGATTGCATTGAAGCTGCACTAAAACAAACTACAGAAAAGCTTAATTTGTTGAACGATGTCAAGCAAATTTTAAAACAGTTTGCAACAAATATTACAGCACTAGTCGAAACCAGTACGCAAGGTAAAGATGGTAGATTTGGATTTATTAATTTTTGTTGTCTTAAATATTTTAATAGATATATCCTTTTTTAATTAGGTAAAATTGACAAGCAAAAACACCTGCCTTTACTTCAAGTAATTTACAGCCCTCTTGTAAATTTTGTTTCAAAATATGCAGCTTACGAACAAGCGTTTTTACTTCAGAAATTATCCAACATAAACTACGTAAAAGACGATTTAAATGATACTGTAAAGAGTTTAAACTTTACCATCCCGCAAATCGTGGATTTAGCAAGAGATGCGAAGAAGCGATGCCATGATATAACAGAAAACTGCGGTTTGTGTGGTCTGCTTATTGCCATTCGCGCGCTATTCATTAATTTCGCCGACTATTTCCGTGTTGTTTTACGACAAATCGAACGAAGTCGAACCCATAAAGAGGAATGGAATGTTTTTCAGTTATGTTTAACTCATTTAGAAAGTACTGGTGATGTTCTGTTAAAGATACAACAGTTAGAGAAAGATTTGACCAGAACTGTTTTGGATGTTAATGAGAATGATGTCGAAATTCAGTATAAATATTTGTTGTTAAATTCTGTTGATCGGAAAGAATTCGAGTCGCTTATCAGATGTGTAACTGATGGAACACAGTTGTTTCTTTTAGATTATGTGACCTCCGAATTTAGTAAATTGTGCGCCGATATTCATAGAACATTGTATCAAGTTGTGCTCGAGCCGATCGTTGGCCATTTAGATGTGGCAAAAAAACCAGAAGCATGGGCGAATGTTAACGATTTAGTTTTTAATAATGACTTGCCAGACTACAGTTTTTCGCCACAAGAGTACATAACGCAGGTATAATACGATTTTATATTATTTATTTTTTATTGAAGAAAATAATCAAAGAAATCATGCAGATAATATTAATGATAGTACCAAATTGTCCATAACAGTTGCAAAACGTATAAAATTTTCGTACAATGCAACTTTCTGCATCTTACAAAATAATCAGATAACTTTTGCGTTAACGAGTTATCGTTTTACATCGATTGATGATAGTGTAAATGTGCTGAAATTAATGGAATATACAGCGTTATATTTGTCCAACAAAATACAATATTTTATACAGATTACGTTAATGATTTAAACAACAAACATTATTTGCTAATAGTACTATATCATCTGCATATGTAACTGACCCGATTTTTCTTCTTCCACTTACTACTCCCCCCGTCTTGTACTGCGCTTATTTTTTTTTTCTAAATTTGCAAATACTTAATTTAAAATGTTTTCTTCATACCAGCTTTCTCATGTAACTATTTCATATTTTCCCCCTTTATTTGTTTTCCCGTCTGCATTTTTAGTTCCAAGCATAATATTTAATGATCCAACTCGTTGCTATTTACCATTTGTATTCTTTCTACAAGTTCTTTTGTTCTTCGATTAATGATTACATAATCTACTGACCTTTCTGTTCCTCCTATGCAGGCGAAATCTCCATCTCCTTTTACATTTTTATTCAGAATAAGAATTCTTTTATCGGAAATCCAATTCAGTAATGTTTCCTCCTCCTTGTTTACTAGTTTATCTTTCGATAATCTATTCTCTTCCGTGATAGTTTCGTTTTCTTTCCCACTCTCATTTGCAGTTTTTGAATTAAAACCTCATCCCATTATTATGTATCCATCCTCACTATACTTCAGGATTGTTTTTACTTTTCCAAAAATATCGCTCCATTTATCTCTCACATAAACAGTTATATTATTTCCAATTTGATTCATTCTTCATTTAATTTTTTTATATTCGCATCTCTTACATTTAAAGATTTTTCTAAATTACTCTCTGTCTACCTTAAATATACGCTGTTGTTTCTAATATTCCCTCATTATTTAAGTTGTTTGCACCTATTTTTTTAATTTGGTGTTTATTGTCTACTTTAAGTTCTAGTTTTTTTAGAATAAGTTGCGTTTCCTCTTCACTCCATATTATTCAATTTTCGTCAATTTTTAATTTTTTAAATCCTATTCTAACAATTTTTCCTTTTTCTCTTTCTTGATTAGCTGTTTGCTTTATAATCTTTTGTATACAAAAGTAATTGAATGGTTGATGAAATGAAACGAGGGCCTATTGAATTAGCCTACGAAACGTAACGTTATTGGCTAATTGTGATTTGTGAAGCAATTAAGTTTCCCTTCATATGAATTCATCTTTTCATAGTAGTACTTGCATAAAATCATACCTGATCAAAAAAATTATATGGTATTAATATCCTTGCATCAACATTTATATTATATCGTACTTTTCTATATAAATATGTAGATCGGGCTGTACCTTATGACTCTTCCCCAACATTTGGAGCCATTTTTCTTTAGAGAAAATCCTTCATTATGGACAGCTTTAAAGGCCGCAGATGAACGATATAACGTAGCTGGCGAAGACGTCGTTTTAGCCGACATTTTTCTTCGCATAATAGCAACCAGTGTATGTCAGTCTTTCAGTGATCGAATACTATCTATACGAGAACTCAATCAAATGGCTAGTAGACAACTTTCTCACGATATAGGTAACTTCATCAAATTATTGCCCATATTTTTTAAGTTTAATATAAATTAATTAAATATAATAAATTACACCACGAAAATGATTTGCATGTTTTTAATTTTCTATTTCTTCTAACTGTTAAACGTTCATGGTTTAATTTACACATTTAATTAATTGTTTTTAATTTCAATTTTATCGTTGTAATTATGTTGTTAGGTTATTTAGCAAATGTATTGGAAGATTTAGGAGTATCAGTTACAGAAGACCTTAAACAGTTAAGTAATCTTTTAAAATTGCCCTCGGATGTTTACCAAACTCAAAGTTCTGGATACATGGCTAAATATGTAGCAGCAGTAAGGCAAATGAGAAATATTACTTCAACTTAGCAATTCATTTAGATAGCTTCATAAAATGATATGTATTGTATTATGTAATAATTGAGAAGAAATGGTTTACATATTTATTACAATTCAGCTGTGTAATCTATTTAATATCAAAATAATTTTAATCATACATTAATCATGGGGAAATGTAAATAAAATGAAAAAGAAGAATAAAAAATGAGCTACTTTATTTCATCTTACCGAATAGTAGTAGTACTGTATAATTATTTTATCAGTTCATAGCACTTTTACATGATTATTGTTTGATTACCAAACATAATAAGTTAATGATATTATGCAATCATACAAAATTTGACATTCAAACAAAAACAAGCGAGCATTTAATCATTACGATGTTTTTCACATTCATTCGTACCAAAACTTGTGAATACTTTTTTATTTTCTTAAAACTATTGTTCCCAATGTTTTGAATGTATTACATCGATGTCGGCGACCAAAAATTCATTTCTCGAATTTCTTCCGGTTTCGGAACGTAAATGTTTTTAATTTTTTGTTCAGCTTGAGTAATTTTACTATTAAATTCTTCTGCGACTTTGATAACATTCTGTGTGTGATTATCTAGTTCATCAACTTCTACTATTTGATCAACGGATTTAGAGATATCTCTTTTTTTTAAAAGGCTTGAAAGGATCCAACTACCTTGGTAGTTTTCGTTACCAAAAAAAACTCCATTGAAATATTTGTTCATTTTTCGTTGACTTTTTGGGGAGGTATTAGGAGTTGAGAGGGGTGAAGCCGGCAATGATTTACTATTGCGTCTTTTGGAAGAGTAAAAGTTTGGAGGAGGGGTTGCTGGTTCTTCATTCAAAGAATTTTCGCTTTCGTTACGCGACAGTTTCCCAGATACAATCTGATGTGCCATTTTTATAACTGACGATCCACATTTAGCAGCTTCACCTTTAAAACCATCATCTGTGCCGTTTGATTTGATCTTTTGATCGGGAGAAAGCTTAAAATGCGACGACTTTAATTGACCTAAAAATACTAATTTTAAAACTGAGTTTTCTCAAAGTAGCGAAATTATAACCACATATAAATCTTAAATATAACTATTCAAACTGTGTAGAGCATTTCTGAAATAAGTGTAGAACTTTGAAGTGTGTCAACTAGATGTAATAGGAAATCGCATGGTGAGTGGAGCAACGTGGTTAAGGGACATTTCTTAAGAAAACCACAATTTTCAACTCAACTTGTAAGTTATAGAAAACGCGAATGATGTACATATATATTCCTTTAAAATTTACCATACTATCACATCACACTAGAAAGAAACCAATGTTTCGTATTTTTTCGCGTGTACCATTTTAGGGGTTGTCCTGTTTTGAAATCAAGGATTTCGTCTTCTATAGCGGCGATATGTTCAGGTCATTAGTATCATGCCACATAATTATGACCTTATAATAAACTATATTAATATTTAATTTCATTATTATTCTACTTATAATATCAGTAGCTCACAGCATAAACCTCAGATGTCGCAGCAATGACAGATTTTCCTATTCTGTTTTGGATTTAAATACTGAAGCTGTGTTATACCAATTTATAACACTATTGGCCAGTAGGGTCTATATCGGAATATATCCAATAATTACTACTGTAAGTCTGGGATAGAAATTGTGTCGCAATTAACGAAAACGTATGAAGTTCTACAATGGTGATAAGAAACAAAATGCATAAGCTGCTAATCTGTTGAATAATTTAAAGAAAAAAAATCATCGTACGATTTAATCGTACTGGCAAACCTGCTAGTATGTACTTATCTTTTCCGTTCTAGAAGACAAACATCGAGACGTCTACTAATACTAGCTGAATTGAGCAAAAAACGTTCTCCAGTCTGACTTACTAGATACTTAAAATCAGCCACTTCTTTTAATTTTTCGTCTCCTATCTTTATATTCGATCTTTCCCTACTTTTTCTTCCCTTGCATACCAGTATTTTTGTTTTACTTATTAATTTTCATACAATACTGTTTTGTCAATACCATTTCTACTACCACGTTCCGTTTATAATCCTCTTTCTAACTAGTTTAAACATACGATCTCTAACCTCCTGTCCTGCATGTTCTAAAATTTCCGCCTGTATTCCATCTATACCCGGTGCCTTATTACTCTTTAAGTGTTTAAAGCTACATCGAACTCTTCTCTCATTATGGGATAACCTAGTTCGTCTATCTCCACACTATCTTCCTTCTCTAAAATATCTCCTAACTCATGGACTGCGTATAGGTTCTCTAAGTATTCTTTCCACCTTTCTGCCTTTTCCTCATTTTCTATCAGGATGACCCCTACCTCGTTTCTTATATTATTAGTACTCTACCCTACTTCTGTAAAATTCCTTTCAATTATATTATAAGCCGCATCCGTTTTACCTACTTCAAACTTTTCTTCTACTTCTTTACACGTCATTTCAATCCACTGTTCCTTAACTGCTCTACACTTCGTAACTATTTCCCACTTTATCGCTTTATATCTTTTTTGCCCTTCGTCTGTTCTGTTTTTGTATTTCCGCTCTCTTCTATTAATCCTACAATCTCGTTTCTTCAATAAACAATACATAAGCAAAAAAATATAAAAGAAATACAACGCTGATGCTACTACTTATCAGATGATTGAATCGTTGCATTGTTGCATTTCTCTTCAGGGTCGGAATTAGCTTTACCTGTATTTCAACCACGTTTTTCTCAAATGGACCTGTAAACATTTCCTTAATTTTCTTATTCTATAGTGCCCTATCACCTTCTGCAAGGTTGCTACTTATTTCAGAAACACACTCAGATTAACCTCTAAACTGTTGGACGTATGCGCACGTATTTCCAAAGAAAGCACTAAATTATTAATTAACTGTCACTGATTCAAGTATGGGTACAGGTACCTATATGGGAATAGGTATATGTACCTAAGTATACTTCAATCAGACGTTATAAATCTATAACCTAAAGTCAGACATATTAATTAAGGTTACGCCTCCACGTCAGTTCCCAATTTTTAGACAATCTGTAGAGTAAATTAAGATGCCACAGACGGTCTTGTATTAAAATAGGGAACAAAGTTTTCTTTAAAAAATATTTTCATTAGACTTATAGTGTTATAATTAGCATATTGCGAACATTTTGAGCCAGTCTGCAACTAAAAATTTAAATACTTACTATCAGAATTAATAAGATAGGGCTTGCAAGGTGCTGTATACTTTTCGTAGTCAACTTTTGGTGCTCCCTTGAAATTTCTAGAGCTGGAGCAACCCTTTTCTGTAGTTTCAGAAGTTGAGAAGTTATTCTTTTGGTCTGTTACAATCTCTACGTTGTTGTTTATCTTGCTGTTGGACGTTGCATCTTTTAGTTTTTTAGGGTAGATATACAAGAAACTGTCATCATTATCGGGCGGAGATAAAAAATCTTCTGAATCAAATCTGCAAAATAGAAAAGTTACATAAATTTATGTTGAAGTTATTATCTTTATTTATACAACCATCGGAAAATTTGTAACCAATCTAGTATTCTTACATAAATACATAATATACACGGTGTCTCACGGTGACCACCCATTAGAATATTTCAGAAACTACTTCTATTTAAATTTTGAAAATTTGTACAGTAGCGTTATTGGGTACGTTTACCGTTTTCGAAATATTTTTTTTTATAAAAAAGCAGAGCTGTGGGAAGCGAAAAGCATGCCTATTTTACAATAAGAAAGCTGTAGCAACATTTTCAAGTTAGTTACTAAGCATTTACAATCAGTGTCATTTATTGAATATTATTGTTATTAAGAATGGAAAATGAAGATTCGTATTCAAAATAAGAATTTTAAGAAATTAATTGCAATACAGTTATAGACAATAGTAAAAAAAAGCACGGGTAAAGGTCTACATGATGATGGCCCCCACCCCCAAGGGGGTGGGGATGGGGGGATCGAAAGAGGAGGTCTCCCCCACCACTGTACCATAAAAAGTTCGCGGCGGTCTCACCTCCATAAAAAGTTATAGGGGCTCAAAGTTAATAAATATGCCAATTTTTATACATTTCTAGGCATGTAAATATTTATATAGTCATTCTTAAACAATATTCAAAGGTAAAACTAATGAAAAATACATAAAAATATTGAGAAAGTTATACAAAACATTATTTAAATATCTTTATCAATAGGGTAGGTTAGGTTAGGTTAGGTTATCGGGTTTTGTTCAAGTGACCACCCTCTTTCGATCCCCCACCTCCACCCGCTTGAAAATAATTTTTTTATTGAATTTTATTTGAATTATAGTGTATGAAAATTGACAAAATAATCAACTTTCAACGCCCATAACTTCTTAATGGTTTGTTATTGTGAGACACCCTGTATATCTAAAGATCAAAACGTTAAAGCAAAGAATATTTTAATCACTTATAAAGATATTAGCTTTTAATTAAATATTACTCGGCTCTGTACATAAACCATATATATCTAGCACAAACTTGTGGAATTTGGTAAGTCACATACTTCTACAAAAACGATCATATCGGTCTACTGATATGCTCTTTATACAGTGATTTGCCACAAAAATGTCTGTTGTCTTATCAGTAAACAAAACAGTCCAAACATAAACAAGCAAAGTATCCAGCCCAAGATGAAATTATCCATCATGGTTTGTAATATAATGCATATAAAAATTCTTTATAATATACTTATACATTATTTTATTATTTCCTACTTATTACAAACTGAAAAGATTCTAGAGATGCGTAATATCTGTTTTGCATAAGAAAAGATATGCGGGAATGCATTATTCATTATAAACTATGGTAATTTAATAAAATTACGTCTAACTAAATGTTAAGTTGATATTAATATAATATTTTCTTTTATATCAGGGACACTATTATGAAGTATCTTGAGCAATTAGATAACTAATTTATTATTTAACCTATTTGCACAAAAGCAAATTTCGAAATAGTTTACAAAAGTAAATGTAAATAAAATTACTTTGTTTTTCTTTTTTTTTGTAATAAGTACTTGAAATCAATTATTTTAACAATATTTTTGAGACCAGAGGTTACGTAAGTGAAATTAATACATCAAATAAATACCAAATGAGACATATCTATAATAAAACAGAACAAAGGAAATGATATTCAATTTTAATAAGTAGCAATAGATAAAATACATTTATTTATGCTATTACAGCTGATACAAAGAAATAAAATTATTACTCGCATGAGTACCAAAAAGTAAATGTGAACGTTGTACCAATTAAAGTTTCATTTAAAAGATACTTAACGGAGTAATGATTTCAACTTTTAAATAACCTTTAAAATTTCCATTCTACATCGTTTACCTTACAAACCAACATGGAACATTTAATACATCCTCGGTAAAATGTAGCACAAACAATTAATTATATTATTTCAGGAAGTCCAATTATATTGTCACGTTTGGTTTCTTTTTTCAAGAATAAACTTTAAATAAACAATTTGAAGTTGTAGATGATAACAGTTTACAATTTTTTTTGATACTGACTTGTTTTTGTCACTGGCAAACATATGTAGGTATGCGCGGTGTCGGTTGGTGGAGGTTGTTTTTAGAAAAGCTTGAGAGAGTGCCAAAATATAGTACTTACGATTAGAGAAAAGCCAAGGACCTTAAAGACTGATTATACGAAAAAGGGAAGCTAATGTTGTAACAAGTCGCATAAAAATAACATTAGGTAATATTGTAATAAAAGTACTTAATTAGTTATTATTCGAAAAAGTTTAGACATAATTCTTTTGTTGAGTTATTTACTTTTTATTATAATATATGATTTGCCAAGAGTTAAATACTTAAATAGTACCTGGAGGTATTACCGGAATAATAATTGTATTTAAAAATGTAAAAAGTAAATATGTATAGTAATTCTAACAACGGATCTCCTAAAGTAAACAAATATACAACATACATTTTTAAACAACGCAAAACACTACACTCACGTGACGCTCTATTTTTGACGTCGTTTCTTCTTAGAAAAATTAGTTTTAATACACGCAAACGAACACATAAATATTCCATGCAACATAAACATTATTATACACTGTTTCGGAGCAAAAATTCGAATAAAATATCCCACGTTTCTTACATTTTCTTTTTACTTTTTGATGTTCCAGTTTTCCTAATAGGCGCACAAGGGATATATATCAAAATGGTCACTTACTATAATCTTTTCTTAATACAAAATGTTATTTTGATTTTTACAGTTTTAACAATTAAAAATAATTTTCATTTACCATCTTACGAATAGATGTACGCACATAGCAATGAAAATTTCAATTAAGCTATTAAAGTATTTAAATCGTAATTAATGGATTAAATTTATATTAATAATTATAATACATCAATATTAGAATGTAGATTGTTGTTGACAAAAATATTTATCTTTCAAAGTACGTAAGCTTTGAGGTGAAAAAATATGAATAAGTATGTCGCAAGGAAAATATTATGGATAATTGCCAGCAATGATGTCATAGATCACGCCTTCCTTTTTCATTTCTTTTACAATTACAGCACGTTGTTAATAATATGTAATAATATAACGATAATTCAGTAACAACATTAAAAAAAAATTTAGTCCTATAAATAAATACAAAGGAATTGGAGTTAAATACAGGTAAGACGAACTTCATATGTATCTTTAACCAGCATTATAAATAGTACAACACAAAAAAATTTCAAAAAAAAATAGCAGGTGTACGCTAATCTCCACGATTACCGAGAATTTAAATGATAAAATACCTCCCATAAAAAGTTATGGGGGTTGAAAGTTGATTATTTTGACAATTTTCATACACTATAATTCAAATAAAATTCAATACATCAAGACGTAACGCCGTAAGAAAAAATATATTAAAATGTGTCCTTGCATCTAAACGCCAAACGGAGCTCAGAAATTACTATCTAAAACTAGTAGGTATTTTTTCTCGCTACCAGATGTCATGTAATTATATGACAAATCCCAATTAGTCAGCTATAAATCAAGTCTATTTTGATGAGATCAATCAACCGTCAATTTTATTTATTAATGTATAAAAGTTTCGGCATCTGAATATCCAAATATCACTCAGTTTGAATAACTAAAATAAGTATTTAACAATAAATGACGATACAGTTTTAAAGCTTCCACAGTCCAAAAGAGATGTACTATTGGAACAAATTATTATGTTTCCAATTAGTGACAATGATTATACTGGCAAGAGTGTTTTGCTTGAATTGTCGAGATTGCTCTGGGTCGCCGAAATGCCTCGGAATTTGCAGCATACCGCAATTAGATAGAAAACAAGGCTGTCTAACATTAAGGGGATTTTTCTATTACGGTAAAAATAAAATTGCATTTACAGAAAGGAAATGTGGTCCCCTGACGACTTGTCAATCGAAGAAAATAGCGGCAAACGCTTTACTTGAAATGCTATATGAACACTATGACATTAAAGCAGAAGACGTAGATATTGAAGAATGCCTTGCTTGTACAGAAAATATGTGTAACGAAGTTAAAGAGAAAAGAAGCGTAAAATCATTTGAAGATATAAAATTTGCCTTAAAGGATCTGTATCCTTCGGATATCGTTGATAGGAATTATGATGACATCAACAGCGGTGAAATCCCGACATTGGAAAAAAAAAATTTAATTCTAATATTTCTCCCATTTGTATGTAATTATATAATGTCATGAAGAACTCATATAGTACTTATCGTTAAATACATATATGTATAAGCAATCAAACTAACTAACCGTACCTATACAATGGAATCTCTCTTTAATTTTTGCTAATTTTTAATGTTTTGACTTTCATAAAATGTTTTCTGCATTTCTAAAGGTTGTATAACGTTTTAAAGCCTTTATACGATAATAAATGGCCGATGACTTCCATGGCCATTGACACTGATAAATGTATACATGTATTTTCTTTTCATGATATTACGATCGTATTCTCTTCGTCAATATGAATTAACTTTTTGTTATAGTTAGAATGCAAATTTAACTAATGAATATAAACGAATAAAATATAATGAACTAACTGAAAAAAATTCTTCCATACAATTTAAAACATAGAAATCGATTAATAAGCGCAGTTTCTTTAAAATTTACTAAATCAGGCAGGTATAATAAAACTTAAATTACAGATCTCTATTGGTGTAAAATTACTTAGGTTCCCAAAACGATATCAAGTAAAGGTCAACTGCATATCTGTGCCGTAACTTATCATTAAACAGCACTTATTAAATATTATTATTAAAATTCCCAGAGTTTTTCAAAAGTGCAAGAAACCTACATTTCAGTAATTTCGTTTGTGACATACTACAATAAATAATCATTAAAATAACAGAAATAAATAAGCAATTAACTCACTTGCTGTCGCTGATTTTCGATTTCATCCACTGGGGAATTGAGATACCAGCTGATAGGGAACGATTACTATCCGAAGTCATTTTTTTTTTCGCTTGCAAGAATCCGAAACAAAAAATGGCAACAGTGCAGTTTTTTTCGAATACAAACGTTTTCTGGACTTGTTTTGATTGGTAGTTGATAGATAAGCTTGGCAGTGTTTGATCAAAACACCAATTGCAATATAACAAGTTTTGGTAGAAATTAACGCGAAAGGTAATCGAAACAGAAACCCCAATTCCTAAGAGTAAGCTTTTGAAACTCCTACAAGCTGAAAACAAAAGAAATTTATGTAAACCTTGTGACTAAAAACCCTGGTATTTTTGTCAGTTGCTAGGTTGCCAAAGACGTCGTGTATATTAATAAATTATTGTTAAAACGGCGAAATGTGCATGTGACAATGATTTATTTTGTTAATATCAGTACCCTAATGCGATACTTTATACTTGCATATTATATACACGATTAATGTACGTGAAATTCATGTAAATTGTAAAACAGTGTAATATAATAAAGAATATAGGAACGTTTTTAGTCAATTATTTGTTAATATCAGAAGCTTAATTATTCTAATTTAAAAGGTAAAGAGCCTATTTCATTGAATTTCACTTAAAATGTAATGATAAACCTATGTAAGTACACAGACAAAGTGATAAGAAACATAATTCTGTTTAAGTTAAAGGCGATGAAATATCATTCTCTGAAATTGCAGTAATATACTATAATAATAATTTAAAATTCCCGTTTTTTTAAAAGATATTCTTTAACTTATTTAGCCATGAGCTGTAATAAATTTTTTGCTCCCTCTTGAATAAATCCCTGAAAATCCCTGATTACGCCTGTGGTATACCACCTTTTTTTGAAGCAGTGTAAGTACTTTTTGTTACTTTTATTAGCTTCTTTGCTATAATTTAGTACATTAATTCCCTTTGCAACTATTATAGGAAATGTATTTTCTAAATTTTAAATACAATGATTATGAAAAAACAGTTACACATACATATAGGTACCTATATATATAGATGATTACCAAACCAAATTTATATAATAAGCATATAAATACACGTATACAGTGTTCATATACATACAAAATAGGAACAACAGAATTACACTCGAATTGTCATATAAACTGATATAGGTAATACGATTTCATATAATCTGAAGTTTTATCACTATGTATTAAATAGATTCATGCGTCTAAATATTAAACGTCAATTCCATTTATATATTAAATTTGTAGGTCAAACACAATGAAAACAAAATTTAGTAATTATGCTAACCATTAACCCGTACTTAACTTTTACGAAAATACTAATTTGCAAAGAAAAATATACTTAAAAAATCTGTTTACCCGAACCGCAAACTGTCTCTATATATAAATACATGCAATGATACAAACAAAAATCAATGGCCTAGTGTTCTGTCTTACTAGAAAACAGCAAAGACAACAAAAAATACCTTCTTTGTCACAAATGAACTCGATAAATTACTGAAGACCATTGTTATTAAATTAAACATCACTCTGTAACTTCGTTACGAAAACCTGCGTAACACTAAAATCAACTAGATAACTCAAATAATACTAAAACATAGGAACATAGTACTATGGTACTAAAAGAGTCCCACAAATAATAACAGTTGCACTAAAATACCAAACATCCCAAACATGTACCACACTACTACCCATAGATAATCTACTACCAAAGTACTTAACTGAACAATAAGCCATAGATTAAAATGAAGCTTTGGTATTGATAGACCCATAGATTATCAGACCATTTCAGGTCTTCATCAAAGAATGAACAAAGAAATATGCCCATAGAGATAATAGAATAGTGCAAATATCATGTCACATGCGTTCTGTGTATATTTATCCAACACAAAATAAAAGTCAGATTTCTAATTTTCCATCTAAGCCAATCGTTTGTGATATTTGTCACATAAATTACTTTCTGTTTGACTAATTAGTTAATAGTAATTAATTTTCTAAATGACAGCTTATGATTAGCCTAAATTTTTTTAAAACCGTAACCCAACCCTATCCTAACCTAATCTAATAAAAATTATTTACAAAAATCTATGTATTTGCTGGTTAAAATAAATAAATAAATAAATATTGTTTGAACATATACAAGCTGCGCAAAATAAGTTTCAGAGAAATTGAAGAGGCGCTTCAGCGATGCAATTCCACCTTTTTCAGTGGCTATTCCATTTATTCAAAACAATTGAAAAGAAATTTTACGAACATCAATAAGTTATTGTCAAATTACTATAAACTATGTTTCTACGTACAGTGATTTACAAATAACAATTAATAAGTAAAGCAAAAGACTAGTGAGCCTATTGAAAATTCGCGGTGTAACCGTTGGCTCGTTGGCTGTAAGTATTGCGCGCGCGGTTAGTTGCATGTATATATTGGTATAATACGCTAAAAGCTGTTGTATCTTTGTATGTAAAACCATGACCAGATTCCAGATAGAAAATGTACAAGTGAATTGGTATATCGGTGTTACGTTAGTTCGGTTGTTTGTGATTCACCAATTAATTAAAATTTTTAGTTTGTANTTTTTTTTGAGCTTTTACCGGATAACACAACGATTAATTCGGAAGTCTACTGTCATCAGCTGGACAAACTGAATGATGCACCTCAACAGAAAAGGTTTTGTGATTCACCAATTAATTAAAATTTTTAGTTTGTAAATATTAATCAAAAACGTTTGAAAAAAGTAATCACAACCCAGTTAATTTAATAAAATAAATATGTGGTACCTAACACAGTGAATTTAGGAAAATTCAAAGAACCTTAATTTACCATCTCGACAAGGTATATCTGTCGGATCGTTTTACTTTCATGGTATTTTAAGATCATTGATGAAATTCTGCAATATTGTTTGATTTAACGTAGATTATTAAATAATGAATGACAATTACAAATATTTAAATTAAAAAACGAATGGGTACTTATAACTGATGAAAAATATTGTTCAGTGGTTCAATTTATTGTGTCCTTCATAAGCGGATGATCTGTTTCAGATTATTGCGAACTTATTAAAATGGTTTCGACAAGGCAAATGTCAGTAATTAGCAATAATGGAAATGAATGCATAGGACAATCAACTTCTGGATATGTTAGTTCTTCAAGAGCTTCTCGAAATAGTGCATCACACAGCAGTTGTAGCAACTCTGATGGGGGTCCTTCTACAAGTAGTGGTAAAGTCGTGTCTTCACAAAGTGTAAATCTTCTTGATTTGCCTCAAGAAGTTATTGAGAAGATTTTGGGATATATTTCGTTTAAAAATATTTGCCAATTAAGATTCGTAAGTATGTTACTTTTAGTTTAATATTAAGTGTATTTCATTTACTTATCATCATTAATTGTATATAATTAAAAGCAAGCATAGGTATTTATTTTATGCATTTAATGAAAACTTTTCTACTTTAAGTAATCAAAACATTTTATATATTTTTTTAGGTATTTTTGAATAGTGAATTGAATTTATGTTGATTTGCAAATAAATTTAGATATTTTTTAGCTTACAGAATAATCCAAAACTATATGCTAATGTTTCCTGAATATTGAAAACATTTATTGAGTACAATACAAAGTAGCACTCACTACTTTTCCCTCAAGAGTGAAAAAAGAAAATAATATTAATAGTAAACAAATAATTTGAAGCTTAAATACCTAAAGTAATACAGTATTCTTGAAAATACCATGTACCTACCTATGAATTAGTTTTTAACTTTATTCTTAAAGTACATAATTATGTATAGGTATGTCGTGCAATGGACCGAACATGTGGTCATGTGTTGAATTCAACATTCCAACGATTGCAAACTCAGATGTTACAGCGTTTTCAAAACATTAAGGCAAAAATGCCTCGTAGAGAGTCGGCAAGAAGAAATCACCATTTGGCATGTGAAAGTGACATAATTGAAACACTGCATATGCGATTAACGTTACTCCAAATGGCATTTGGAAAACATATTGAAAGAAAACACTGTTGCTTTTTTCCTGGGGAAATACTCGACGAAGTGTACAACATTTTACATTACATAAAGATTACACCGAAATTGGCTCGACCTTACAAAGTTACCGACGAACTATTTGATCTTTCTACAATGGCTATGGAATACTTCAAGGAGAAAATTGAACCAGATTTACCAGAAATTGCCTATTTTGGAACGGACTTTTTAGATTTTACAAGCACGTTTTCTTGTAAGTATCAATGGTTTTTATTTTGTTTATTATTATTTTCAATGATGATAATGATACTTATTAAAATTGTTTTAAAAGAATGTTTTATTACTTGATATTTTTGAAAGACCATAAAACTGATGTCATTCGTTAATTTTTTAGCAACCAGTACAGGTAAATATTTGCCACTGGACTCTTCCCCATTGGGTCCAGAAGAACCGAAAGAATCAGACCAAGTACCTAATGTTCTTGGCCCAGAAGATCTGGTCGAGCCAATGCCGCAATCGAATATGGTATTACGAAAACGTATACGTAAAATTAAGCAGGGCATGAAACGATACAGCAGCCAGCTGACTTTGCTCAAACAAGATCTCAAATCGTGTAAACGAAAAACTGCCGAACAGCAAAATCAAATTTCGGAACAGCAAAAGCAACTGGCCGAACAACAAAAACAAACCCTTGAATATGCAGCCCGCTTAGACGAGTATGACAAAAAGAATGAGGAAATATCACGCAAGTTCAGTACATTATTACAGGAGTTGAATAAGTGTAAGACAGAGTTACAATATTGGAGGTCCAAGTCGCCAGCTGCGCTTCCTTTTTGCACCGGTTGCGGTACCGTCATAACACCCCCAGCTGAAGAAATTCAGGCGTTAGTGAATCAAGGCGTAATGCCTGAAGGTTTAGGACTGCAACCGTTACAATCGAGCGATTTAGTGCCTATGGCCAGTTGCAGCGTCTTAACTTTAACCGAAGGGGAAGAACGAACAGATGAAAAAAGATTAAACGACTTGGATCTTAACTTCGAATCGCCTCTTAGTCCAATATCGGCCGTGAAGGGTACGAAGCGGAAATTAAATAAAACAAAAGAGACACCTTCTCTTCCTTGTGCTTCTACGTCATCTTCATCTGGCTCGTCGACAGTGAAGAATAGTGCAGCGCCAAATGCAAAACGAGCTCGGCATGGTCCCGGTTTTCGCGGTAAACGCGCTAAAATCTGAAACGGTAGGGTTGATAGTAAGTCATTGTCACCATTCAATTCTTTGTCTTTTCTTTTTGTATTTATAGAATTAGTTATTTTGCGAAGTAGTCTAACGTGTTGTACTACTAACTATCATATATGGTATGTCAGTGTTGGTTAGTTGTTTGTTCATTTTTATGGGAGGGAAAGCGCTACACAGGACTGGTGATTGATTTCCACGCAGTAGATAAAGAAGGCCAATCGCTGTAATCGTAACTTTGACATAAATTTCACTTGTTTATTAGAATTCAATGGAAGCAATTCAATGTTTAAGTTTGGACTTACGTTGTTATAGAGAGATGACTTGTTTATAGCTACTAAAAATTGTTTCGAATGACATGCTTCTTTCTTGAACTAAGTACTAATTGTTTGACCATTTACTGATTTTAATGAAGCATTGCCTTATTATAACACTACCACTAAAAGTGCAGTATAAATTTAATTCCATAAAACTCAACAAAAGTAGGTTACTTCTGATTTTCTATACATGAATATATCATTATTCTGATATTCGATTTTTTGTAAAATATGTGGTTTTGGATATATTTTAAATTAATTGTGAAACGGTTGAGGCCATCTTTCTCATTATAACAGTCTACCTTTCTAAGATACTATTTTACTTTCTTTAACGTCCGGTACTCAAATAGACCGTACAATTAATAATAATTATTTATAGCTTACGTAAGCTTAAAAATCACCTTAATAATGTAGTGCAGTACTGAACGTAGAAACGTATTAAATTTGACACGGACACAAACATTTCCAAGAGTCAAATTTTTCTATACTTAAATTTTCTATAATTAAGAAAATCGTATTTACAAAAATAAAAATTCACTTGAACGTTGTGCTGTAAATTTAAAATTTTTTCAAAGAGGTTAAGTTTTATTTTAATGGGTTAATACTTATGTATATTGATTTACAGAAATCGTACTTTTATTTTACAATAGTTTGAGTTTTCCGTGATGTGTGAATGTTTAATTTTTTAGTAAAACATCTTCAACTAAAATATTTTTTTTAATGACAAAGCAGAAAAAATTGTCTCATGGAATAGATACTCGTGCATTACAATGAGCATGTAGATTGAAGTGCTTTTGCTGTACAAACTACTAATGGCTAATTTAGCGCGTTGTGCTTGATTTATGTCCCATATTGGAATGTTTATATGTCTCATTTTGAGAATTTTCACTGTAGTTGTTCCGTTTTTTACTTACCTAGCTGCTACTATCAAATGGTTATAGACTAACATGCTTATCTCACAAAGAAATGGGCTCGTGATGTGAAGTTCACTAATAAGAAACGTTTTAAGTTGATTTGATTTGAGTATAAAGAATAACAAAATGTTTGTCATTACATTTAAATTATCGTTTCTTATTGGAAACCTAGACTTTTAAGTAAAGAACAATTTTTGTGGGGTTCCTTTTATTTTTTAGCCTTTTACTGTATGTGACAGCTTTGCATTGATCGTTTTTAAAGAAATTTATAGATTAACTGGCTTTAACAATAATTTTGTCATTGTAGTTTTTTAAAATTATATGTAGTATAGTTTACAATCGTTAAAATTCCGTTTTGAATGAACTTAATTGCCTAATGTTTAGTTTGCATCGTTATTTGAGTCTCAAAAAAGTACCAAAATCGAATAATTATTTAGGCTAATTCTAGTGCTACCAACTTAAGTCATTGTTTAATCAGGTATTCTTATATAAATGTTGTTTTCAAGTAAGAACAATAATTTAATTACGTTAATCAGTGTCAATGTAGCCATAATTTCAAACCCTTCACCACTTGATATTTTAAATTTACCGATATTTTTACCAAATATATTTCCCTTAAACGAAAAAGTATGACATTCGTTTCAATATATTAGTTATCAATTAAGATTGCAGAATTATATAAATTTTATTTTCTGTTTACATAAATTAAATTAATTTTATTTAGAAATAGTAATTCAGTAAAATTTATAATCATATGAAAATCTTTCAACTTTATACTATATTAAAATTAGAGAAACGTTTTAATTGAATTGAAAACTACATATCAAAGATAAAGAAAACAAAACTTTTATGTCATGATCTGTTGCTCTTACAGCTGATAATTTAGTATTTTTCCTTTAGAACTATAAAATAGCTGAACACATGCTAATAGGAATTAAACCGTTCTAAGCACAATTTGTTGTAAGTAATAATATTGACCAATGCATTGGATGTTTTCTGTAACTTTAAATTAATCTGATATAGAGGCTTTTGTTTGCACTTGATCTCATTTTGATTTGATAGTTTGAATATTTATCTTTTTAATATACATAAATATTTTCTTTTATGAACTTGTGCCTAACTAATGATGTTTTAATATTATTTTTGNAAATTATCGTTTCTTATTGGAAACCTAGACTTTTAAGTAAAGAACAATTTTTGTGGGGTTCCTTTTATTTTTTAGCCTTTTACTGTATGTGACAGCTTTGCATTGATCGTTTTTAAAGAAATTTATAGATTAACTGGCTTTAACAATAATTTTGTCATTGTAGTTTTTTAAAATTATATGTAGTATAGTTTACAATCGTTAAAATTCCGTTTTGAATGAACTTAATTGCCTAATGTTTAGTTTGCATCGTTATTTGAGTCTCAAAAAAGTACCAAAATCGAATAATTATTTAGGCTAATTCTAGTGCTACCAACTTAAGTCATTGTTTAATCAGGTATTCTTATATAAATGTTGTTTTCAAGTAAGAACAATAATTTAATTACGTTAATCAGTGTCAATGTAGCCATAATTTCAAACCCTTCACCACTTGATATTTTAAATTTACCGATATTTTTACCAAATATATTTCCCTTAAACGAAAAAGTATGACATTCGTTTCAATATATTAGTTATCAATTAAGATTGCAGAATTATATAAATTTTATTTTCTGTTTACATAAATTAAATTAATTTTATTTAGAAATAGTAATTCAGTAAAATTTATAATCATATGAAAATCTTTCAACTTTATACTATATTAAAATTAGAGAAACGTTTTAATTGAATTGAAAACTACATATCAAAGATAAAGAAAACAAAACTTTTATGTCATGATCTGTTGCTCTTACAGCTGATAATTTAGTATTTTTCCTTTAGAACTATAAAATAGCTGAACACATGCTAATAGGAATTAAACCGTTCTAAGCACAATTTGTTGTAAGTAATAATATTGACCAATGCATTGGATGTTTTCTGTAACTTTAAATTAATCTGATATAGAGGCTTTTGTTTGCACTTGATCTCATTTTGATTTGATAGTTTGAATATTTATCTTTTTAATATACATAAATATTTTCTTTTATGAACTTGTGCCTAACTAATGATGTTTTAATATTATTTTTGTTTGTTTTTGTTAGATTAATATTAAATGTGATGATTAAATTGGAAACACCTTATTTAATCAAAACAAAAAAAAGTTTAAAGTAAAAACAGAAATGAGGATGTGAAAATAGAATATATACATGTGTAACATGTTTAAAATATCTCTACAAAAACATTAACTCCACACAGTTAACTTTTATGATTTGGATGTAAATGAAGTGCAGAAAGTGTTATTTTTTCAAGTATATAACTAAATAGATTATTATTAGTATGTATTTAAAACTTAAAGTAACGACAAATTACAATTAGTAGATTAGTAGCCAGAGTGTTTGTAAATATTTACGATATTCATATATAATATTTATTTTAATAAGCCAGTTAGTTCAATTCTTGATGTTTATTTAGTAAAATTTTAATTTATGTAAC